AGCAAACTCACAACTTTCCCCCTCGAGTTCATCTGTCCGAAAACGCGAAACACCAGGAATACTTTCCCGGATGTTTCCCCCATTCGCCGGTACCACCTACTACCGCGTTAGGTCAGACCTAGCACCGCTCATTGCCATGTCATGCATCAACATGCATATGTTTGCATTATATTTATTGTTTCTTCCCCCTCTTCTCTCGCTAGACACCGACACCGACGCCGCTGCTACCCAATACGACTACCGTGTTGACTACCCCTCCTTCTCGGCTGAGCTTCCAGGCAAGCCCCCCCCCCCTCCTTGATCACCAGATATCGCCTATTCCTTCTCTCTACTACTTGCATTAGAAGTAGTGTAGCATGTTACTACTTTTGGTTAATCCTATTCTGCTGCATAGCCTGTCCTTGCTTGTACTGTTGTTACCCTTACCTGCAATCCTAAATGCTTAGTATAGGATGCTAGTTTTCCATCAGCGGCCCTACATTCTTGTCCGTCTACTATGATATACTATCGGGCCGTGATCACTCGGGAGGTGATCACGGGTATATACTATATACTTTATACATGACACATGTGGTGACTAAAGTCGGGTCAGATCGTAGAGTACCCGTGAGTGATTCACGGATTGGGGGTGAAAGGACCTTTGTCCCGACGGCCCTCTGGGTGGATCTTTGTGGCGGAGCGACAAGGCAGGTTGAGACTACCTAGGTGAGAGGTGGGCATGGCCCTGGTCAGCGTTCGCGGTTACTTCGAAATAACACGCTTAACGAGATCTTGGTATTTAATCTGAGTCTGACCACTGGCCTATGGGCAGTCGACGTCGTGGTATCAGCCGAAGCCTTCGTGACGTTAGCGACTGAGCGGTGCGCGCCGGGTTGGACCGCGTAACGCAAATTGCTTTGAAATGGAGGTTGCTAGGTCTGCTATCCGGCCGCCCACGCAATGTGCAGGTGTGCAATGGGTGATGGGCCGAGACCCCTGCGCGCATAGGATTTAGACCGGCGTGCTGACCTCTCTGTTGTGCCTAGGTGGGCTGCGATGTGTTGATCTTCCGATGTCGGGCATGACCCAGGAAAGTGTGTCCGGCCAAACGGGATCGAGCGTGTTGGGTAATGTGGTGCACCCCTGCAGGGAAGTTTATCTATTCGAATAGCCGTGATCCTCGGTAACAGGACGGCCCGGAGTTGTATCTTGACCTTATGACAACTAGAACCGGATACTTAATAAAACACACCATTCCAAGTGCCAGATATAACCCGGTGATCGCTCTCACACAGGGTGACGAGGGGAGGATCGCCGGGTAGGATTATGCTATACGATGCTACTTGGTGAACTTACCATCTACTCTCTTCTACATGCTTCAAGATGGAGGCTGCCAGAAGCGTAGTCTTCGACAGGACTAGCTGTCCCCCCTCTTATTCTAGCATTCTGCAGTTGAGTCCACCGATATTGCCCCTTTACATAGATACCCATGCATATGTAGTGTAGATCCTTGCTTGCAAGTACTTTGAATGAGTACTCACGGTTGCTTTTCCCCCTCTTTTCCCCCCTTTCCTTTCCTCTCGGTTGTCGCAACCAGATGCTGGAGCCCAGGAGCCAGACGTCACCGCCGATGACGACCCCTACTACACTGAGGGTGCCTACTACTACGTTCAGGCCGCCGACGAACATGAGTAGTTTAGGAGGATCCCAGGCAGGAGGCCTGCGCCTCTTTCGATCCGTATCCCATTTTGTGCTAGCCATCTTATGGCATCGTGTTTAACGTTATGTCTGTACTCAGATATTGTTGCTTCCGCTAATTCGTCTATGATCGAGCACTCGTATTCGAGCCCTCGAGGCCCCTGGCTTGTATTATGATGCTTATATGACTTATTTTATTTTAGAATTGTGTTGTGATATCTTCCCGTGAGTCCCTGATCTTGATCGTACATGTTTGCTTGTATGATTAGTGTATGATTGAATCGGGGGCGTCACAAGTTGGTATCAGAGACGACTTCCTATAGGAATCCCCCTTCCCAACTCCTTGGGCGAAGTCGAGTCTAGACATTGCAAAACTTTTACTAACATGGCTGTGTGTCTTACGGGCACACGTCGCCATTGGGTGGTAGTAGTATCTTTTATTCCTCGTCTATACTCTGGGACTCTGATCTCTCTTCTATTCGCATTTAAATAAAATAGTAACTCTAACATTAGGGTCTTGTGATCACATCCACCTAGAGAACCCCTTGTTACAGATGATCGCCTGCTACACCAGAAGATTCGGAAGATACTCTATGTTGTTCTCTCTAGAATTTATGCCATCGCTTTTGCAATTCCCTTCCATCGATAAACCTCTATGGATAACCACACACACTTGCCATTCATACAATCATCCTCGTTGATCTTGTTATTACAAGATACCCCGAAATTCTCTCTATTGTTACGAGAATACTTTGTGCCTACTGCCTTGCAGTTGTTTGCCACATGAATACCACTACGGATAATTTCTCACACTCACCGGGTATCCGCTCATCCCCAGCTATTCAGGTGTTTCACAAAAGTCTTTGAAATACTATCGATCCTTCGAAAATCCTTAGCAGCTTATTGCTCTGCAAATACTTGTCTGTTTGCATTATGGATGCTTCCCATATGGCTGGCAATATTCATTAGTCTCCTTTGACACAGTCATTTTGATCCTATTGATTCAACATGAGTGTGAATGCACGCAATCATCGGTTGATCCTTTTAAATTATCTTTCCATCTCAGATGTCATTTTGAACATGAGCTGGTTATCGACCCATCATATTGCAGTCGATTGTACCCCTAAGTCTATTCAACTTATCCACTCTTAATCAGACCGTTGGCTTCTTATCCCTTGATTTGGAAATGATAATTCCTTTGCACTTGATATTTGAATTAGTTAGTTGTTTCTATAATCCAATGCCTTTGCATTGTTTCTTCCTCTGGTTGAGTCCCGATGCTCACATTAGATCCCTTGAGGACCATCGGATCCTTTGTTGGATTTTATCTGATAAAGTCCTTCATATTGAATTACTTTGGAAGTTCTTTCCCTGATAAATAATGCCATTGGTAAATCCTATTCTCTGATTTGGCCAACTGTGCTCTTCTTTCAAGCTGGTGATATTTACTATTGAAGCTTGTGGTATATGTTTCCACGATGCCCCGATGGGTTGAACCTATGCCTTTTTCTAATCTGTGTGAACCCGGAAACTACTATGGGTCATACTCTACTGTTCTTATGTCAGATAAAACTTCAACACTACAACTTCGTCGAAGGCAAGAACTTCAACACTACATCTTCTTGTGCCTTAACTCATCACGTGCAGTCCTCCTGCATAGTTCGAAAAAAGAAATAATTCACAAATCAATACTGAGGAAGACATATAATGGTAAGATAAGAACAACTAGCTAGCCAGCGGCTGAAGGACTCATTCAGTTACCTGGCTTGTAATCATCACCCAGTCACTCCCAAAACTATTCAGTACAGGGCCAAACTCACAAACGTCAGTCTCATGCAAATCCTTAATTTCCCATGCCATTGGACACTCATCAGGTCCAAAAAAATTATGAAAAAAAATCAAGTATGAGATGTAAGATTCAGAGTACAGACTTTAGAAAGACAACTTTTCTTTCACAACATAAGCCATCTGAACCAAGTCTCATGCCCACTAAAAAACATTATATTTAATGCACGGAATTAAGCAGGACAAACAAAGCAAAAACAAAAGAGGCAATGTAATTGGCCAATGGATTGCTATCTTACTTCATTCATGGAGTCCAGAAGTGGGATCAGATGAGAAATTGAAGGTGGCGCTCCACTCTCTGCCCGTGCAAGAATGCAATCTTGCATTCAATACTTTAATTACTCAGTAAACAAAATTTCTTGCTGGTGCTTGCTGAACGGTTTGAGGCATCAGGCATGGGAGGGGATCTCACCAGATGAGGAGGTCCTGCCGAAGGAGGGGATCCCACAGGTCTTCATGCCTCGATCCGGCCAGAAGGAGCCGCCGTCATGATAAGGGCAGGGTCGCTCCCCCAACCTTGTAGCCTGCTAGAACAATAACAATAATGTTGATACACCAGATAAGAAGCACAAGCACTTGAGAGCAGTCTGCTTGCCAGAACAATTAGTGAATTAACCTCTTGAAGCTGAACAATCACGTTGACACACAAGTTAAGAAGCACAAACCTTTAGAGCGGTCTGCTTGCGGCCTTGCGCAAGATATCATTGGACTTGAACATGACTGCGGGAATCCAAATCATTACGAAACCTACACAATATAAACTCAATTGGAATGAGGAACTCGCCATCATCTTCTGACCAGCGACTCTCCGCAGTATTTGGGCAGAGCACAACAAAATGGATCGAACCAAACTCGCGTCACAAATTCACGCATATAGCCTAATGAGCGAAACCTCACGCTTCATAGAGAAGAAAGAGGTAGGTGTTACACGCGGATTCGCGTACTTGCAGGTGCTGGCGAATGAAGACACCGAGGAGGAGCAGGGAGAAGGGCAGTGCGAGCTCCACCCACCTCACCAGACACTACACGTCATAGCCCTGGTACGGCGAGTCCCCCCTCCCGCCGCTCCCGCCGCCAGCGCCGGCCTCGTCCCCCCGCGCAATGGGGGGCTTCTCGTTCGTGGGCTGCTGCCCTCCCGCGTCCCCTGCCGGCGCCACGCGCGTCGTCGGCCCCGGTGATCCGAATCAACACCTCCCCGTTGGCCCCGCTGCGTGCTCCGTGCGCTGGGGCCTGCTGCCTCCGGCCTGGGCCCGCAGGACGCCCGAGGAATACTTTGTATGGGTGCATATGTATTGGTGTTGGTGTACATGGCAAATCAAATTAGGGATACATTGTTGCGGTCCTAATTTGATTTTGAAAAGTTGAAAAACATGAGAAATAGTACTATGTATTGTAATATAGCGTACATGGCAAATCAAATTAGGGATTCATTGTTGCGGTCCCAGAAACATATGAGCAATGTGTTGGTGTTGAACCAATTACATTATTTCACCACGGATCCTCCTAGCCAGTTGAATGTCTTTAGACATGATGGTCACACGCTTGGCATGGACAGCACATAGATTGGTGTCCTCAAACAGACCCACTAGGTACGCTTCCGCCGCCTCTTGCAGAGCTAGAACCGCATAGCTCTGGAAACGTAGGTCACTCTACAAACATACCAACAATGAACAAATATTATTATTATGGTAGTAATTATTATAATTAGAATAGTAATAATAATATAATCATCATCAGTATCATGAATACTTAATATTAATCCAAAAATATTGCAGTGACAAGCACGACAGCTTTAAGGCACGCGTGACTTGGAGAATTATACCTTGGAAGACTGAGCAATCTCCCGGACAAGCATCTGAAAGGGCATCTTCCTTATGAGCAGTTCAGTTCCTTTCTGATACTTGCATATTTCACCGTAAGAATACATGCATGAAAGCCATTTATACTATGGAAGTTACTTGAGATCACAGGATGGGATAATTAATTAATAAATTACATCCTCGACAATTGCATTACATGCATGAAATAAGAACATCACAGTGATGTATATGATGCCACACCTACCGTAGGGCAACAGTTCCAGGGCGGTATCGGCGAGGCTTCTTCACTCCTCCGGCTGCGGGAGCAGTCTTGCGAGCCGCAGCCTAAGTTATTGTCCAACAAACCATTACAAAAGATATTTTACTTGTTGCGGGAAAATTGACGAGTTGTTAGAATTCCAACAGAAGAAAAACAATATATGTCTAGTATTATAAATAGAAAGACAAACGAGAGGTGAAGTGTTACATAGAAAGCCCTAAGCTGCTTCATGGGAGCCTTCCCTCCGGTGGACTGACGAGCTGTGATCTTTGTTCGAGCCATCCTAGGAAGTAGCATTTAGTAGTTACAGCATTAACTGACAAAATAAAATGACTGCCTCAAAAAATAATGTAACGGTCCAAATCCTATTGAAATATGTGAAAATGATGTTAACTACTAAACGTCCCTTAAAACCTGATTTCATCAATATAGAAAAGGTAAATATCTTGACCCTTCTACTACCAAACCAGTTCCCCTCCACTTTGGCAGAAATCACAAAATTCTTCTAACACATAAGTGAATTTACTTGCGGCAATATTCAGTGCAGAACAGATTATCAACAGCAATTGTCAGCTAGGAATGAAAACCAAGTTACTGCATGTCTGCATCAGCTAAAATTTGCATGCATGTTGATGACCAACACATGCATGGAAAACAAAGCAATAACGAGTGAAACCAACAAAAACTGATGTATTTACCTTAACTCTCGTAATTGAGCTTTGCTGCTAGCTGGTGAACCAATACTTATAGGCTAGCTGAAGGATGAGGACTCCTGATCTGTTGTGATGTGATGTTAGGAAAAAGTAGCGTGAGAGCTGTGGTATTTATAGGCGGCACCAAGGGGCTACACGAACCGACATAGAGGGAAGGATCGTGTAAGATTAGATTAGATTCCTTAGTTTGCGCGACATTGATTGGCGGTTAGATTAATTCGACGGCTCAGATTATTGGTCACGCGGATCAGGGTATAAGGAGCAACGCTATTGGCCGGTCTTAGCATGACAAGGATTGTGGGTTCATGGGGACGCAGGGGCGGATGGGGCTTGCCTGCTCCCTCTCAGTGCTCCCATCCGTGCTCCCCAGCCATCCGATGGTGTACATCTTTTCCCTCAGACACATATTTTTCTGGCGGAAAGGAACCCACGCAGCTCCGTATTCCCGTCTCTTCCCGTACGTATGCCCATCCTTCCTCTTTGGATTTCTCTTTCCGCAGTCGATCGTCCCTCGACCTCGGGAGAGATAGCCTATGAACTGGCTACCGTCCGTCGCCTCAATCTTTTGGAGAGTTTTTGGTTTTGACCAAGAAAGCACTATTTTTAGGGAAAGGATCAGATCTATTACTATAAAAGTTCATCGAAAATACAAAGCAACTCAAACATAATAAAAATTAAATCAAGATTCCAAGACCATCGAATGACCACTACTGCCGCCATAAAAGAAATTTTTTTCCAAGAAGAAAAAGGAAAAGATAAGTTTACAATACTTCACTATCAATTAAACTTTACACCAATTGCTAAGGTAAATGATCCCAGCAGGCCGATCGGCCAAGAATCATGCCAGTCACGCGCGAGACGTTCCATCAAGCAATATTTCACGCTCCCTCTCGCACACAAATGTGTTGTGGCGGTCCACCAATTGCCCCCGTCTTCTTCCTTATCACCTAGCACAGCCACTCGTTGTCCTCCAGCCTAGTATGTCGTGAATCACCTTAGTAAGCGGCTGCAAGTTGTCGTCCTTCTTCTCTACAATGTTGCCCATGGACTTCTACCTCAGCGTAGGCAAGTCACACCGATGCGTTCCCAAGAATGGCGAGCTATGAGTGGCACTTCAACAAGTTGCGAGGTTGCGGTATGGGTGCTGCGAGAGCGATGCGGCGAGCTGCTTGGCCGAGCTACACGGGGGATGTTGTGGCGGCGACCAGGAGGCAGGGGACTAACAATGTGACGGGCAAGAGTTCATGCTTCAACTTGAGATGCCAGGAGCTGCGATGGGGTGTGTAGTGGCGACGCAGTAAGCCATGTGGCATACTCGACGACCAGCGCATGATGTTGTGACCGGCCCGCCCGTGGAGCTGGAACCGCGTACTGAAGAAGCTGCAATTGGCAGCTGACGGTGCTGCAGACGGAGGTCAAGGCCTCTCCAATGTTGCAGCGGTGAAGGCCACATGGTCGGTGGGGCACTACAACTGCCACACGTGGATGCTGGAATAACGAGGGCAAGATGCTGGAACTAGTGTTTTGACGGGTCGTTGTTGCCCCGAGAACATGGGAGCCCTCCATGTGACCACGACTGGCGTTCTTGCAACCGCCATACCCGGATGCAGGTATCACAATGGCTAGATGTAGGAACCCATGTTTTGATGGGTCGATATGAACCCATGAGAATGGGAGCCCTACGTCGTGACCATGACCAACATTGTTGCAAAACGCCACACCCGAATGTTGGAACCCGTGTTTTGACGGTTGTTGCGACCATGCCTACCCGGGTGTGACGCCCCCGATTTAATCGTACACTAATCATACACGCAAACGTGTACGATCAAGATCAGGGACTCACGGGAAGATATCACAACACAACTCTAAAAATAAAATAAGTCATACAAGCATCATAATACAAGCCAGGGGCCTCGAGGGCTCGAATACAAGTGCTCGATCATAGACAAGTCAGCGGAAGCAACAATATCTGAGTACAGAGATAAGTTAAACAAGTGCCATAAGATGGCTAGCACAAACTGGGATACAGATCGAAAGAGGCGCAAGCCTCCTGCCTGGGATCCACTTTGGCAGAAATCACAAAATTCTTGTAACACATAAGTGAATTTACTTGCGGCAATATTCAGTGCAGAACAGATTATCAACAGCAATTGTCAGCTAGGAATGAAAACCAAGTTACTGCATGTCTGCATCAGCTAAAATTTGCATGCATGTTGATGACCAACACATGCATGGAAAACAAAGCAATAACGAGTGAAACCAACAAAAACTGATGTATTTACCTTAACTCTCGTAATTGAGCTTTGGTGCTAGCTGGTGAACCAATACTTATAGGCTAGCTGAAGGATGAGGACTCCTGATCTGTTGTGAAAAAACTGGTCGATGGAGGTCCCTTTCAGTTACAGGAATACACTAATTCTCTTATCTCTATCTAGATGGTGGGCCCCAGTCGCACGACGCTCAACACAGCAATCATCATCAAATCATAATTCTTTTCTACATTTATATTTAGATTATTAATTATTAATGGGCTGTATTTTGTTTCATGGTAGGCCCGGACAGACAACTAGCGGCTGCATCTATCCTTGTTGCTGTGTTTGTGAAACGCTGCACACACCATCCTTTTAAGAAGGTCCGAATCTCTCCCTCAAAAAAAAAAGAGAGGTCCGAATCTCTCTCAGAAAGCGGTATGGGACTAAACTACAACTAAACTGCAGTCATTAATTAGACGTTGTTCTCGTCCACATCGCCGGCCGTTGCTGCGGGAATATACGTCTACTAATGAAACTACATCAGGTCCGAGCCTCCAACTATTCTGCCTAGGATAACTGCACGTTTAATTTTGTTTTTGACAAGTAACGAGAAGCAGATGGGCAACTCCGATGAGTCATCGGCGGCGGCTGTATTTTCTCTAACGAGAAGCGTGGGCGACTCCGGCGAGCCGTCGTCAGCGGCTGTCCTGTATTTTCTCTCACGAGAAGCGAATGGTGGGCGATTCAGGCTAGCTGTCGGCAGCGGCTGTATTGTATTTTTCTCAGATGAGAAGGACTCCGGCGAGCCGTCGTCTTCGCATGTATTTTCCAAGATTTTAAATAGCACGCTACAAAATATAGCGAGGCCCTTCTCTAAATGCTACACAAGTTATAGCGTGCTAATAGCGGACACGGAGTTTCTGCACACGAGCACATATGAGCTCTTTATTGGCACGGTTGAACGGCTTCTCGGGATGGGGTGCAGTTAATTCATGGGTGGAATACAGGGTGTGAGTTAATGATGTAAATTGAGGAATACGGGCGTGGGGACTTGTGAGCTGTCCCCGAGGAAAGAACGGAGAACCAGCCGCCGTCAGCCTACGGGAGGCGAGCCGTGGCTCAGGAAGTTCGTCGACGTTCTGATCCGTGGAACAGGAAAAACACTTTCCTGGTTGGTAGTAGTAACTACGAGGTGGAGGGGTGGGAGTGCTCTGCTTCCTGTAGGCACTCCATCGTACCATCAGCGAGGTCGGGTCTCCTGGGATCTCAGCCACCGTGGGAATGGGCCGTCGCCGATGAGCAGGAGATAGAATTCCTGATGCAGCCAATTAAAAGGTAACGTACAGATCCTCTTTCCCGCAGTACAGATTTGTGATGAATTCCTTCCCTGCGATTGACTTTTCGTTTCCGCATCTGCCGAAGAAGATTCACGGTGCTTGAGGAGGTCAATGATAGCGATGTCCCGATGGCGCCGCTGCATTAGCCCGTCACCGGCGTCGGCGAGCTGCAGCACGCGGCGGCCCAGAGCTGAGCAGGGACGGACAAATCTATGCGACCCAAGCAGTGGTGGCGGCAGACTGGCAGAAAGGGAAATTTCACCCCAAAAGGCTTGATTAATGAACCTAGAAAATCCCTCGAATTGGATCCCACTAAGCGTTTGAGCTCTCCACCGGCAAGATGAACCCGAAGTTTACTGGATGGGCTCGTAGGTATGAACTTACTTCCGGTTGTGATTTTGGATGTTGGTATTCAGGTCACTGTTCTCGTATATAGGCATAGTGGATAAAATTCATCCATGGCCAGGGGTAGAGCAGTCCCATTGAGGATAGATTTTTACTGGCCAAATTTTGGTATTCCATAATACAATGGGTACTCAATGGATGTATAAAATTCAGTTTAGAAAAAAAGGGTTTCACACGATCTTCAGGAGTTGCTTACAACACTATAAAATTCACTGGCAAAATCATACGCATTTCGCCAGTCTTTCACGCGAGTTTCTTACAAAATTGTAATCCGTTCTTCAGGAGTGCGACATCTTAGAATTGAGGATTGACTGCAGCATGTATTTGTGCTTTGTCGTTATCACACGATAACCAGAAATACCTTGTTGGCAGTTTGGCCAGTGTGGCCTGATAAAAATAATGTGCCTGCTGCAATAATGAACTTGCCTTTCATCGATGTGGCGACGTGCGTGCCGATCACATACACAGTGCCCTGTTACCTGAGATGTGCCTTTTAGATTTATTGGTTTATGAACCCAGCTATCTTATATGCTACTCCTTTTGTACCTAAATATATGATGTTTTGGTAGGCTAGT